ATAAACATATTTTTCCTTCAAAATTTAAAAGATTTTGCTTTATCTTTTCTCTAAAGGAAACATCTTTCTAAAATCCCAAATTAGAGCAGAGTGATAACAATTTGGACTTACAAAAAAACAGCCTTATTAAGATACGATTCATATACAATACAGTTCACCCATCGAAAGCGTATAATTCAATGTGTTTTAGTGTTTTCACAGAGATGTGCAACCATCACCACAATTAATTAAAGAACATTTTCATCACCCTCATAAGAAATCCTGCACCCATTAGTAGTCAGTCCACATTCTCCCTTCCTTCCCCCAGCCCTAGGCAACCACTAAACTACTTCGGTCTATATGAATTTGCCTATTCTGGACATTTCATATAAGTTGATTAATACAATATGTGGGATTTGTATCTGGCTTCTTTCCCCCATGTTATAGCATGGATCGGTACTTCATTCTCTTTTATGGATGATAATATTATACTCTATGGCTAGACCACATTTTATTTATCCACTCATTTGTTGATAAATATTTGGGTTGTGTTCACTTTGTGCTACTACTATGAGTAGTGTGTCTATGAACGTTCCTGTTCAAGACTTTGTCTGAATGTTTGTCTTCAGTCCTCTTGGGTATATACCTAGGAGTGGAATTGCAGGATTATATGGCTACTACTCTATGCTAGTTTTTCACAACAGCTTCACGGTTTCACATTCCCACCAACAAGGTATGAGAGTTTCAACTTCACATCACTTTGAGCTTTTTAAAGTCAACTTTTCAAAACTAAAAGTGGTGTTTTAGAATATTGATATATCTATTAGCACAAGGCTATAATTATATGCCTCACAGCTCTTACATAGTGTCAAAACAGTCCTTTAAAATGCACAGAAATATTAAGCAATGTGTTATGCATTGCTAAGCTCACTTGGGCTCCAGCACACCAAGTCATCCAGGTTCTAGGTTTGGTGATGCCTTCAGAGAGTTCTAGTCCAACCCTCCACCCAAGCGTGAATTCACCCTGCAGATCTATTCATGAGATCATTCCCGAGACCCTACTATGCTCTGAACACTCTAGGGCTACAGCCACATATAAGACATGTTTCCCTCTCTCACAAAAAATTACAGTCTAGAGAAGGAATCAAATGCTAGATAAATACTTCCTGCCAAAGGCCAGGGGAACACAGAGGGAGCATCTGTACAGAAGGCTCTTCCTACGTACCTTGTGGGGTTGTTAGAGCCAGTGAAATGCTCTGTGTAAATTTTCAAGCCCAGCGTCTGACTCATAGCAGGCACCCAAAGGTAGCTGTTATATTCCTGTATACAACTTTGCATTTTACATATGAGGAAACCAAGTCCTAAAGTTTAAGCAGCTTTCCCAGAGCCCCATAACTCATGACTGAGGAGTCAACCTTTCTGTTTCAGGCCCTGCTTGCTGAGCTCCAAAGCCTTAGCTATACTGACATGTAGGAGGCTGGCCTGCAAGTCTTTTGCCATGCCTGTCTCCGGCCTGGGCTCTTCTGCTTCTCCCAGGTCTGGTTTCCTGGATCAAGGCATCCTACTTTATTCATGCCCCAGCATAACACTAAGGTTTTTAGTGGCATATAGTAACTAGGAACACTTAGCTAGTCCCAGGTACAGCAGGGCGATTACTGTAATTACAGCCAGAAGTGGTCATGACTGACAGTGGCTTCAGGAGTCTATTGCTGGTGCATCATTCTCTGCCTATCAGCAGGCCCACCCTTCTTCCCACCATCCAGGCCAGAGGTCTGAAAAGTAGGAATGGCCTAAGCCTCCTGGTCTATATTCAGCCGGCCATCAAGCCATGCAAAACTTCCTTGTAGATGCTGCCTTCCGATTGCTTCTTCTCCATTCCCATATGGCTTCTGTACCACAGTTTTGTCTACAAAAGTTTATAAGCATTTGCCATGAGCAAAGTATTTTGTTGGGTTCTCTGGTTGAGAGCCACCTGAGATAAATGCTCCCTGGTTTCAGGCTCATGGGGATGGCAGAATAATAAGAATCCAGAGCTAAGTGTTCTCTAAGTGCCAAGAGTCAAGGACTGCCCTGGGCTCAGGATGTTCCAGCTCTTATTCATCCTAATGAGAGATGATCAGTCCCTCACCACAGAAGACTAAGCATGCCCAGAAGCTCAAAGTAACCAGGAAGTATGATCTGCTGTGGAAATGGACCAGTCTCCACTGGTATCTTCACCTTGCCTGCAGGAACATTTTTATCCCCAATGTATTAGTTTGCTAGGGCTTGTATAATGAAATATGAAAAACTGGATGACTTAAGCAACTGAATTGATTGTCTCACAGTCCTGGAGGCTGGAAGTCCAAGATCAAGGTGAGTCAGCAGGGCCACACTTCTTCTGACAGCTCCATGGAAAGACCAGTTTCAGGCCTTTCTTCTGGCTTCCAGTAGATCCTTGGCTTAAGGCAGCAGAACTCCAGTCTTTACATAGTGTTCTCTCTGTGTGCATGTTTCTGTGTCCAAATCTCCCCTTTTTATAAGGATGCCAATCATATAGGATTAAGGGACCACCCTACTCCAGTAAGACATCATCTAAGCTCATTGCATCGTCAATGGTTTTATTTCCAAATAAAATCACATTATTAAGTACATTATGAATCCATAACATCAACATACATGTTTGAAGGTACATTTGAATTACTCTGCCATCATCATTATCTTCACCCAAGTAGATGTGTTCTGTTCTTCTGCAAGTTCATTTGAAAGCAGGAGTTCTTTTGGCTTTTCTTTGAGGGTCAAATTTCACCCTTGAAAAATGATGACTCTAATAATGAATGTCTTCTGCCCTAACCCCAAATCTGCCCAATAGTCTGGAGACTCCAGGTAGGACATGATGGCCTCACCTCAGAACTTTTCTTGGGAATGCCTGGACCACATGTGTCTCCTCATCCTCACCCCATTCAGGAAACAGAGGAAGAAGTTATTAGTATGAGGGACAGACTCAGGCATGTCCAGCAACTTACATGGAGTCACTAAGGGTACAGCTCAGAAGCAGGTACAGAGCTTGGCTTCACAATGTAGCTCACCTTTGGACCTTCCAGGCTGAAGCCCAAAGTTGTTTCTGCCCCTTAGTTCATTTTTCCTCTGATATGGTGAGGGTTGTGGGACTCAGACACCTTTGAGCGTCTAAAGAAGATTTCATCCTTTTGGGTTTGCTCCATCAATATCCACATACTCCCTTCCTTTCTTGCCAGGTGCCTTTGATTTGGTTCCCCATTTCCTTCCTGTCATGCCTAGAGCCAGGTGGCAGCAAGGTAGATATAGCTCCAACTGGCACTTTGAGATGGGCATCAGGGATCCAGCAGGATCCACTGGTCTGGGAGCAAAAGATCACGTGCAAGAGGCTGTAGCTAATGCTGGGAGGGATGAACCAGTGATAACTCTGGGGTTACTGAGGTGCCTTCAGAGCCCAGGGCAGAGAGTCTTTGCTCTCTTTCATATCTTCTTCTATGTATCGGTGGCTAAGGGCTCCCATGTGTGTACTTAGAGCCTGAGGTGGGAAAAGAGACTGCCTACAGGCCTCTGTTTCTGTGACTAAGGTGTGAGTACACTACTCACCCCACCCCACTCCCTGGGTCCACCGGAAACAAAGCCACAGAGCAACACATTATTTCCCTGGAACATCCATTTACTTGAGGATGCAGGCATTTTTTCCTGTATTAAAGCAAACATGGATATAATATAAAATCGAGAGTTGAAGTGCCAAAGATTTATTTGACTGAACTCCAAATTGCATGTGACAGATGGCTTTGAAGTTCCTCTTTACCCCGGGACTGTGCATGGATGAGAAATACTTCTTTTTGTCAGAGGCATAGGCTTCCTGGGCAGGTGCTCATAAACATTGCCATGGAAAGATGGTACATATCCAGGCTTTGGGATTCAAAACTCCTGTTTCGGGCAGAAAGGTCTGCCCAAGGGCTATTTCATAGGCCTGGATTCATCTAGAGGGAAAGAAGAAACAAAGCTGTGTCCACAGGCCAGTGTGCTGAGGTTGTGAGATACCTTTCAACTTGGACCAAAGTCAGTTTACAGGCAGTAATCCCTCTCCAGTGTCTCCTCCATTGGCCGTACTCCCTGGGTCCAGCCAGTACCTGATGATGATTGTGGTGGTGAGGGAGTAGGCAGCTACTGCACACAGAGAATCAGGCCTTTGTGTAGCAAGTTTTGGCCACTATCCCCCACCTGTCGCCTTTACATTGGCTCCAGGGGTCACAAAGGGGGAAGGCATAAAATCAATAGGGCGGAGTCTTTAAAAGCCAAAGCAGCATTTTAAACTTTTTTTCTTTAGGGCTGAATGGGCAGGTTGTTTGAAGTTGGTAGATTTCGTGTTGCCAGTCCTAATACGAGATCTGAGCTCACATCCTCCAGAGAGGCTGGAGATACTGGGTCCATCTGCACGAGGGAGTTACTGATGGCCTTAGCGGTATCAGAGGTCTCTTCATTTGGATGCACTGTATATCATATGCCATTTTGTTTTTACTGGGATGTCTCTATACCCTTGCATTTGTATGAGGTCACACCTGAGGCCTCAGGCTTAGCCCCTAAAGCACCCAAGACATATTTGGGTGGGAATTGTTTTTTTTTTTTTTTTTAATAAGAAAGTCTGTACAAACATCGAAAGTTGATTGATTGAAAAAAATCATGCTATGTAGGAAAGGTCCCAAACGCAGTAAGAAGAATTGATGTACCTGAATCTGGACTCTGAGATCCTTTTGGAATAGCAGTTAATTTCTTACTTGGGCAAAATTAAATTCACAGGAAGTTGCAAACACAGTAGAGAGCCCCCCCTCCCATAGCTTACATCTAGTTTTCCCAGTGGTTACATCTCATATAACTATAGCACAATATCAAAACCAGGAAATTGATATTGGTGCAGGTTTCTGTATAAAATTTTTTTTAATTCATATGAAGCTTTTTCTATTATAAAATATAAATTTTGATATAAATTTCATGTCTCTGGGATAAATGCCCTGGAGTACAATTGCTGGGTCATATGGAAGTTGCATGTTAAGTTGTGTGACACTGCCAAACTGATTTCCACCAGCAGTAAATGAGTGATCCAGTTTCTCCACTTTGTCACCCTCGTTTGATGTTGTCATTGTTTCTTAGCTTAGCTATTCTGTTAAGTAGGTAGTGGTATCTCATTGTGGTTTTAAATTGTATTTCCCTAATAGCTAATGAGGTTGAATGTCTTTGCATGTTTTTATTTGTCATCTGTATATACTCTTCAGTGAAATTCAGTGAAATGCCTCTTCATGTCTTTTGCCCATTTTCTTTTCTTTTCTTCTTTCTTTCTTTTTTTCTTTTGACACTCTTACTCTTTTCACTTAGAATAATGCCCACCAGCTCCATCCATGTTGGTATGAAGGACCCTCCTTTTTTTTTTTTTTTACAGCTGCTTGATATTTCAGGGTGTGTATGTACCACACCTTTCTTTATCCAGTCTACTGTTGATGGGCATTTAGACTGATTCCATATGTATGCTGTTGTGAATAGTGCTGTGGTGAACACATGTGTGCATGTGTCTTTATGGTAGAATGATTTATATTCCCTTGGGTATATACCCAATAATGGGATGGCTGGATCGAATGTTAATACTGCTTTGAGTTCTTTGAGACATCACTAAATTGCTTTTCTTCTGTAGATGTCTGTTAGGTCATTTAGTTATACATTCCCACTAGTATTGTATAAGTGTCTAGTAGTGTATAAGTGTCTCCCTTCTCCACAACCTTTGTTATTTTTTGACATTTTAATAATAGCCGTTAAATGCCTGGGGTGAGATGGTATCTCATTGTGATTTTGATTTGCGTCTCTATTACTGATGTTGAGCATTTTCTCATATGCTTGTTTGCCACATATATGACTTCTTTTGAAAAGAATCTATTCATGTGCTTTGCCTACTTTTTAATGGAGTTATTTTTTGCTTATCGATTTAAGTTCCTTATAGATTCTAGGTACTAGGCCTTTGTTGGATGCATAGTTTGAGACTATCTTCTCCCAGTTTGTAGGTTGTCTGTTTACTCTGTTGGTAATGTCTTTCGCTGTGCAGAAGTTCCTTAGTTTTTTTAGGTCTCATTTGTCAATTTTGGGGTTTTTGTTGTTGTTGATGTTGCTATTGCTTTTGGCATCTTTGTCATAAAATCTTTGCCAGGGCCTATATCCACAATGATTTTCCTAAATTATCTTCCAGGATTTTTACAGTTTGAGGTCTTACATTTAAGGCTCTAAACCACCTGGAGTTGATTTTTGTATATGGTGTAAGGAAGGGGCCAAGTTTCAATCTTCTGCATATGGCTAGCCAGTTATCCCAGCACCATTTATTGAATATGGGATTCTTTCTTCATTGCTTGTTGTCAACTTTGTTGAAGATCAGATGGTTGTAACTGTGCAGCATTATTTCTGGGCTCTCTAAACTCTTCCACTGGTCTATGTGTCTGTTATTATACCAGTACCTTGCTATTTTGGGTACTGTAGCATTGCAGTATAGTTTGAAGTTGGATAACATGATGCCTTCAGCTTTGTTCTTTTTGTTTAGTATTGCCTTGACTATTTCAGCTCCTTTTTGGTTTCATGTGAATTAAAGAAACTTTTTTTCTAATTCTGTGAAGAATGTCATTTTTAGTTGGATAGGAATAGCATTGAATCTGTAAATTGTTTCAGGCAATATGGCCATTTTAATAATATTGATTCTTTCTATCCATGAGCATGGAATGTTTTTCCATTTGTTTGTGTCATTTCTGATTTATTTGAGCAGTGTTTTGTAATTCTCCTTGTAGAGATCTTTCACCTCCTTGGTTAGCCATATTCCCAGCAATTTTACTCTTTTTGTAGTTATCGTGAATGGGATTGCATCCTTAATTGGCTCTCAGCTCGGATGTTGTTGTACTATAGGAATACTATGAATTTTTGAGCATTGATTTTGTATTTCAAAACTTTGCTGAAGTTGTTTATCAGATCAGGTAACTTTTGGGCAAGAATATGGGGTTTTCTCAGAATAGAATCATATCATCTGCAAAGGGATAGTTTGGGTTCCTCTTTTCCTGTTTGGATGCCCTTTATGTATTTCTCTCGCCTGATTGCTCTAGACAGGACTTCCAATACTATGTTGAATAGGAGTGGTGAGAGAGCATCATTTTCTTGTCCCATTTAGTACGAAGTTGGCTGTAGGCTTATTATAGATGGCTCTTATTATTTTGAAATATGGTTCTTCAATGCCTAGTTTGTTGAGGGTTTTTAACATGAAGGGATATTGACTTTTATTGAAAGCCTTTTTTGTATCTATTGAGATGATCATGTGGATTTTGTTTATGGGATGAATCACAGTTATTGATTTGCATATGTTGAACCGATTTGCATCACAAGGATAAAGCCTACCTGATCATGATGAATTAGCTTTTTGATGTGCTGCTGGATTCAGTTTGTGAGTATTTTGTTGAAGATTTTTGTGTCAGTATTTTCAAGGATATTGGCCTGAAGTTTTCTTTTTTGTGTTTTTGCCAGGTTTTGGTATCAGGATGATGCTGGCCTCATAGAATGAGTTAGAGAGGAGTCTTTCGTCCACAATTTGTTGGAATGATTTCAGTAGGAATGGTACCAGGAATGGTGGAATTTGACTGTGAATCCATCCGGTCCTGAACTTTTTTCTGGTTGGTAGGATTTTTATTACTGATTGTATTTCAGAACATTATTGGTCTCTTCAGGGATTCAGTTTCTTCCTGGTTCAATCTTGGGAAGTTGTATGTTATCAGCAATTTGTCCATTTTTTTTTTTTTTTTTTTAGTTTACTAGCTTGTGTGCATAGAGGTGTTGGTGCAGTCTGAGAGGATTTTTGTATTTCTGTGGGGTCAGTGATAACATGCCTTTTGTCATTTTTGATTGTATTTATTTGGATCATCTCTCTTTTTTTATGAGTCTAGCTAGTGGTCTATCTATCTTATTAATTTGTTGAAATAACCAACTTCTGTGTTTCTCAGTCTTTTATATGGTTTCTCACATCTTTTCCTTCAATTCAGCTTTGATTTTTGGTTATTTCTTGTCTTCTGCTAGTTTTGGGGCTTGTTTGCTCTTGGTTTCCTAGTTATGCTACATCTCCTGTAGTTGTGATGTTAGGTTATTAATTTAAGATCTTTCTAACTTCTTGACGTGAACTAAATAGTGCTATAAAATTCCCTCCTAACACTGCTTTAGCTGTGTCCCAGAGACTCTGGTATGTTGTATCTTTGTTCTCATTAGTTTCAAATAATTTATTGATTTCTTCCTTAATTTCATTATTTACTCAGAAGTCAATTAGGAGGACATAGCTCAATGTCCATGTAATTGTATGGTTTTGAGCAACTTTTAGTATTGATTCCTATTTTTATCGCACTGTGATCCAAGAATATGGTTGGTATGATTTCATTTTTTTAAATTTCCTGAGGATTGTTTTATGTCTGATTGTGTGGTTGGTTTTAGAGTATGCGCCATGTGCAGATGATAAGAATGTATATTCTGTTGTTTTGGGGTGGAGAGTTATGTAGATATCTGTTAGGTCCAGTTGGTCAAGTTCTGAGTTCAGGTCCTAAATATCTTTGTTAGCTTTCTGCGTCAATGATCTAATATTGTCTGTGGAGAGTGGTAGTCTCCCACTATTATTGTATGGTTATCTAAGTTTCTTTGGAGGTCTCTAAGAACTTGGTTTATGAATCCGATGCTCCTGTGTTGGGTGCGTATGTATCTGTGATAGTTAGGTCTTGTTGAATTGAGCCCTTTACCATTATGTAATGCTCTTCTTGTCTTTTCTTCTCTTTGTTGGTTTAAGGTCTGCTTTATCTGAAATAAAAATGGAAACCCCTGCTTTTTTGTGTTTTTTTTTTTGTTTGTTTGTTTGCTTGGTAGATTTTTCTCAATCACTTTACTTTGAGCCTGCGGGTGTCACTGCATTTGAGATGAGTCTCATGAAGATAGCATACCATTGGATCTCACTTCTTTACCTAACTCGGCACTCTGTGGCTTTTATTTGGGGCATGTAGTTTATTTACATTCAACGCTAGTATTGACAGTGTGGATTTGATCCTGTCATCATGTTGTTTACTGCTTATTAGGCATATTTGTTTGTGTGGTTGCTTTATAGTGTCACTAGTCTATGTACTTAAGTGTGTTTTTGTAATGGCTGGTAACAGTCTTTCCTTTTCATATTTAGCACTCCCTTCAGGACCTCTTGTAAGGCAGGTCTGCTGTTAATGAATTCCCTTCACATTTGCTAGTCTGAAAAGGATCTTATTTCTCCTTCACTTATGAATCTTAGTTTGCTATAAATAAAATTCTTGGTTGTAAATTATTTTCTTTAAGTATGCTGGATATAGGCCCCCCGTCTTTTCTAGTATATAGGGTTTCTGAGGAATGGTCTGCTGTTAGCCTGATAGGGTTTCTTTTATAGGTGACATGCCCCTTCTCTCTATCTGCCTTTAACATGTTTTTGTTTTTTGTTTTTCTATCTTGGAGAATGTGATGACTATATATCTTGGGTATGATCTTCTTGTATAATATTTTCAGGGGTTCTCTGTATTTCCTGAATGGGAATGCTGGCCTGTCTAGGTAGGTTGAGGAAATTTTTGTGGACAATATCCTGAAATATGTTTTCCAAGTTGTTTACTTTCTCTCCGTCTCTTTCAGGGATGCCAGTGAGTCATAGATGTGATCTCTTTAAATAATCCCATATTTCTCAGAGGTTTTGGTCATTCTTCTTTATTGCCTTTTCTTTATTTTTGTCTGAGCTATATCGAAGAGCCAAAGCCAGTCTTCAAGCTCTGAGATTCTTTCCAGAGCTTGGTCAACTCTACTGTTAATATTTTTGGTTGTATCCTGAAATTTTTGAAGTGAGTTTTTCAGCTCTCTCAGATCAGTTTGGCTGTTTCTTAAGATGGCCATTTCATCTTTCATCTCCTGTATTGTTTTATTGTAGTCCTCAGAATCCTTGGATTGGGTTTTTACTTTCTCCTTAATCTTGGTGATCTTCATTCCTATCCGGATTCTGAATTCTATTTCTGTCATTTCAGCCATTTCAGCCTGGTAAAGAATCATTATGGGGAAGTAGTGTGTACATTTGGAGGTAAGAAGACACTGGCTTTTTGAGTTGCCAAGGTTGTTGGTCTGTTTCTTTCTCATCTTTGGGGGCTGAAATTCTTTCAGTCTTTGAAGTTGTATTCTTTTGCTTTTTTTACTTTTTTGATGTCCTTGGGGTTTTGATTGTTATAAGGTGGGTTCAGTTGGCTAGCTTTGTTTCTGGGAGATTTTCATGTGGTAAAGCTCAGTTCAGGACTTCTGGGCTGTATGTTCTAACTCTGAGGAGCTGGTATCAGGTCCTCAGGTTTGTTCTCTGGTCCGTTAAGGTTAGAAACATGCTGTCCTGAAGGGGCTGAGGTGTTCCGAGACTGCTGGTCACAACACTCCAATGGATGGTGGCAGCCAAAGCACTCCATCGGGCAGTAGCAACAGGATCCATGCTCATTCACCTGTGCCAGCAACAGTAGCAGAATGGCAGGATGCACGTTCTTTGGCTGGGGTGGGTGCTGGCAGGGGCGGGGGTTGCCAGCTTCCATGCAGGCGTTCACAGTGTCAGCAATGGCAGTGTGGCATGGGGGCAACTACTTCTCCTTTTTCAAGATGTGCACACTTTATGTTCTTGCCTAATACCAGCTAGAGCTTCTAGTATTATGTTGAATAGCAGTGTCAAGAGCAGATAACCCTGCCTTGTTGTCACTCTTAGAGGGAAAGCAATCAATCTTTAACCAGTAAGTGTGATGTTAGCTGTAGATTTATTGTAAATATTCTTTATCAAGTTAAGGACATTCCCCTCTATTCCTTTTTATCATAAATGAGTGTTGAATTTTGTCAAAGACTTTTTCTGCATCATGTGATAGGATCATATGATTTTAATTATTTTTTGAGATGATGTAGATTCACATCAAGTTGTAAGAATACGGATAAGATGCTATGTACTCTTCAGCCATATTCCCATAATGATAACATGTTGTGAAATGATAATGCAATATCAAAAATGGGTTATTGACATTGATACAGTCAAAATACCAAACATTTCAATAACCATGTGTATCTCTCAAGTTGCTCATGTATAGACACATCTACTTCCCTTCCATACCCACTCTCTCCTTAATCCCTGGAAACCACTAATCCATTCTCCATTTCTATAGTTTTGTTATTTTAAGAATGTTATATAAATAGAATAATACAGTATGGAATCTTTGGGAATTGTCTTTTTTTTTCACTCACCATCATTCTCTGCAGATTCATCCAGGCTGTTGCTTGTATCAACTGTGTATTTCTTTGTATCACTGAGTAGGCTTCCACAGTATACATGTATCATCGCTGAAGCATTACTGAGTTGTTTCTAGTTTTTTACTAATATGAATAAAGCTACCCCAAACACTTATGTGCAAGTTTTGTGTAAACATAAGTCTTTATTCCTCTGGGATGAATTCCCAGGAGTGCAATTACTGGGTCATATAGTTGCTAAATATTTAGTGTTTAAGGAAACTGTCAAACTGTTTTCCAATATGACTGTACCATTTACATTCCCATCAGCAATGTTATGAATGATCCAGTTTCTCTGCATTCTTACCAGCATTTGGTGTTGTCACTATATTTTTAGAAAGATGAAGTTCACATAACAATCTAGTGGTAGTTAGTACATTCATAATGTTCTGCAACCATCACCTCTATCTAATTTCTAAACATTTACATCACCCTAAAATAAAACCTCATACTGATTAAGCAGCTAGTCCTCATTCTTCCCCTCCCCTCAGTTTGTGGCAACCACCAATCTGCTTTATCTCTATGGATTTACCTATTCCAGACATTTTATATAAATGGAGTCATACAATATGTAAGCCATGGTGATCGCCTTCTTTCAGTCAGCTTCTTGTTTTCAAGGTTCATTCACGTTTCAACATGTGATCTGTACTTCATTCCCTTTATGGCTGAATAATATTCCACTGTGTGGACATACCAAAATTTTGCCTATCCACTTATCAGTTGATGTACTTTTGGGCTTTTTACACTTTTAATGCTGCTAAGAACATTTGTGCAAAAGTATTTATTTGAGTCCTTGTTTTCATTTATTTTGGGTATATACCAAGGAGTGGAATTGTAGGGTCAAATGGTAATTCTATGTTTAATTTTTTGAGAAACTACCAAACTGTTTTTGATAGCAGATGCGACATTTTAAATTCCCACCAGCAATGTATGAGGGTTCCAATTTTTTCACCTTCTCACTAGCTCTTGTTATTTTCCATTTTTTCAATTAAAGCCATTCTAGTGGGTGGGAAGTGGTATGCTATGGTTTTGGTTGTCATTTTTCTGGTGACTAATAATGTTGAACATCGTTACATATGCTTGCTGGCCATTTATATATCTTCTTTGGGAATATGTCTATTCAAGTCCATTGCCTGTTTGTTTTTATTGTGTAGTTTGTATTCTGGATACTAGTTTTTAATTAGCCATATGATTTGTAAATGTTTTCTCCCATTCCCTAGGTCTTTTCACTTTCTCGATAACATCCTTTAATGCCCAAAAGTTTTTATGAAGTTCAATTTATCTATTTTGTTGTTGTTGTTCATGTTCTTAGTGTGATAGTTAAGATTCCATTGAG